CTAACGGTTTTCATAACACTACAGTCTATTGGGGGAAATGAGTATGGTAAAACCGGTCCCTAAAAGATTTGTACTTTGTTGAGGCACTTCTTGATAATTTTGAAGCGCAATTTTTTAGGGCTTCAATATCACACCATATCACAGACACTGATAACATGTAGGGCAGTGCATCTCAGATTTAACCACTGTTAAACGATCCCTTTAACAGAGGAAAATTAAACCAAGTTGACATACTTTTCCTTTGTTGGCAGAGCTATGTTTTGTTCAGAAGATGTTCATAAAAGTTAAAATGTATGAGGCATGTGCTCTTACTAAGAAGAATATTATACTTGTGGAACATCTTTTCAAAAGTTTGTAAACCAAATCGGATCCCTCATACAGATGAAACGATTGGCATATATACTTATGACTTCTCTATATAATGGTGTAAGTCTTCATAAAGAGCATTGACAAAAGGAGCTTAGCATCATCACAGATGGTGAAGTATTGGTGAGATTATTAGACCACAGTACACTGAATTGTTAGTTAGAATTAAGGCCTAAGATAGACAGGCTTACCTTAGCATCATCAGGGTTGAGAGATGGTGAGGTGATGGTGAGAACATAGACCACATTGCCTGCCAGTGATCTACATAGGATCCTCTGCTTGCAATACTTGCTACGAACACGGTCATTGGTCAGGTTCTGAAGGTAGTCCTGGAAACATGAAGAGATATAAGTAGATGTTGCTTGTAAGTGTCGGCTTGCATGGTGATGTAGATATACAGTAGGCTTGCGGGTGCACCATGTGAGAACAGGTTGACTACCGTAATTAACAGTGTATAAACCGCACCTTTTTGCCGCCGAAAAAAATTCAAAGTCGGGGGGTGCGGTTTATACACGGTTCACCCAAAAAATTAAAAAAAAAGTTTCAATTTATTCCCCTCCACCTGGCGCTATGCCTGGCAATGTCTCCCAGCTCGGAAATCGGTGTGTTGACTCACCACTCGGAAACTAGAACAACACTCAAATTTGTCATCTTGGTTTGAAAGTATTCATTCTGATAGATCTCAATATGTAGTATTGTATGTATGTATGTATGTATGTATAATAATAATTCCTCCAATTTTTCTTCTATTACATGGTGTACCACAAGGATCTATCCTAGGTCCCCTACTGTTTTTTTAATTTACATTACCGGTAATGATCTTACACACACAAAAAAAAAATCTCTGCAAATTTTTTTTTTTTTTTTTTTTTTTAAGGGTGAAAAAGAGGGGTGCGGTTAATACACGAGGGCGGTTTATACAACGTTAATTACGGTATCCGTCATCACTCGAGCCACTCATCCTCTCCAAGCGCTATAGTTCTCCTCAGAACTATAAGCTAAGAAAGATAACAAACAGTTCTTCTCAGGACTACACACCCCCAAGAAAGATTACAGAGTAAGAGTCCTTTTCAGGACTCCTCAATCCTCTCTCTATCTCTCACATGGTGCACCCGCAAGCCTACTGAGATATATGTACCTTTGAAATATACAAATCACTATATATACAGAATTTATTGAAACCTAGGTAGATAAGACTTCAGGACAATAGATGGACAAATCGTTTAACAGAATGGCAACCAAGGATGGGAAAGAGAAGAAGAGGAAGGCAGAAGAGAAGATGGAGAGATAACCTCACATCATACATGGGAACGGCCGCTTGGACTAGGACAGCTAGAGACAGAAGAGAATGGAAATGTTATGAGGAGGGCTTTGTCCAACGTCTGGATGAACTATAGCCTGATAGATAGATAGATAGATAGATAGGGAGATGTGAGTTGGTCTAGCGACACGTTCATGTGGTCAGCTCTCTGTCTTCATCTACAAACTGGCTCAGGCGACCCCTGTTCAAAACTGATTTATGTCTTTTGGATGGTGACGTTAAAGGTTGGTAACCAGACGTTAATATTTGATTAATACCGATTCAGCTTCCAACGTGACACTATCAAGAGGTGTCGTGGTCGACTGGATATGTCATCTGAATGTGGATCACAAGGTCCATGGTTCGATTCCAGCCACGGCACTAATGTCCTTTGGCAAGACATTAATCTACATTTGCCACACTCAACCCAGGTGAGGTAAATGGGTACCTTGTAGGATTATTTCTTGAAATGCACTGTACGCTGATAACGGCTACCAGAGCTGAAGCTAGGGTGATATATCAAGGGGTGTAATATTACATTATTTGGACCGCTGAAGGAAGTTATATTTTCCTGAAGCGCACAGCGCTTAGGAAAAATAAGGTCACGAGGGAAAATATAACCCCATTCAATAACATCCTTTAAAAAAAAAATTCTTATAAAACGTTTTTGGGGAAGAGAAAAATTGGAAGAATAAAAAGCATTTTTTGGGAGAAAAAAAAAATTGGAAAAAATAATTTCAAGGAAAAAAAAGTTCGAGAAAAAAAAAAGAACCTCGGTAATGGTGTAATTGGTGATATACAGTCAGTCCTCAAGAGGGCAACATACATTGATCAACATTTCACCAGCTGGTTAATATAACACTGGAAAGTGACCGGCCAGGAAAATATAACAATTTGGATCCTCACAATTGATATCACGTGACAAGCTCTGGACCAATCACATCTTGGTGTCTGTCTAAGCGATCTAATAAAACGTGGTATGCGCTACACCATAATTTCTTACCTGTAGGTCTGAGTATGTGTATGGGTAGCAGTGAGCAAAGTAGCATGTATCATTATCATGAGGCACAGTGAAGGTCCAGGTCAGGGAGTAGTAGAAGTTACGATCCCCTTTCACATCTTTCCTCCTGTAGGTTCAGAAAAACATCCACAAACAGATCAATAAATATCATGCCGAGGTGTCGTTGTTGAATGGTTTGATTGACTCTTGATGAGAAGGCTAAAGCACTATGAATATGACGGAGAAAGAAAGAGGACAAAATATACAGTTCCTCATTCTACCCTCAACAATTGCTATGGTAGACAAAGGAACATCCCTTCACTGCTGTTATGTAAAAATGTGTAGAACAGGTGTCACATGGATATTCACCTGTTCTACACATTTTTACATAATAGCAGTGAAGGGATTTTCCTTTGTCTACCACAGCAATTGTTGAGGGTAGAATGAGGAACTGTATATTTTGTCCTCTTTCTTTGTCCGTCATATTTATAGTGAAGGCTACTTCACCTGAGCTGCGGTAAACTGCATGTTTTTCTTTCATGTACTAAAGTGTACTGCACTTCAAACTTTTGTATTTTGAAACACGCATAGGACCACTGTTGCACTTGCTATTCATTTTGGACCACAAAAAAACACCCTACAGATAAATAAATATCATTATCTTCGGTTTCAAGAAATGTGACTTCTTTTATGAGGCAATAATTCCCATAGTTGAGTGGTTGAACATGCCAAGCCAATGCTATCCAGGAATGTGTAGAGCGCCGATATCTACAGTTATCAACTAAATTATTCATACCCCTTGTAAATAACAATATTCCCATTTTTTAATTAATGATAACCACAATACTAATAATGTCTTTATATTAATTCGAGACCTTGAAAAACATAGTACAGGAACACTATTTACAGTGTATTCATATCACTTGCAAAACTAGTAATTAACTGGTTAATGACTGAGCCCACGCATATGCAGTTAGTTTCCCATAGAAATGTACAATGTGAATATAACCATGTATTGCGTTAAGGGCTTTGTTATCATACACACTCATTGACTAAGGAGTGAATAAATGTTATACATTGAAAAATGTAGTCATGTTAAGCATAATAGTGCCAATGTGCATGCAAGTAAGTTTGTGACTAGTTTGCAATATAAAGATATTGATTATGCAAAGCACATTTATATGCACATTGCAGCAAGTGTTGAAACAAACATGCAACTATTGATATGGAATGTTGATCAATGCAATGCAAAATATTAAAATCACCTGCTCCCCTAGTACATGTATGTGCAACTTACAATAGGGGAAGATTAATCAATACAAACCTGAGTTACTTAGCAAAACAAGTGTCTGCATCATTACAAGATGCAAGATTACATACAAATCCATCTTTTTCAATATTTGTTTCTATTCACGCTGAAGTTTTAATTCAAGCCATTCTATGGTGTGTGCAAATATGAATCAATATATTGGTAAGCAGCATTAGTAGGCCTGATTACCAGTGTGTATGGTGTTAGTTCTTATGACACGTACATGTACATACTGTAAGGATGGTATTAAAGGATTATGACAAGCAGTTTGTGTGCACTTTACTTACCGCATGTAATCCAAATAATTACAATACTTGATTTATCCCATCTTATCATTGTCAATATCTTAGGATTTTACGATAACACCAAGTAAGGGTAGCATTTTTACAGACTGTTGTTGATTTGTTAATGGACTAGAACTCGTACTAAAGAAAACTGAACTTTAAAGTAGATCGATGAATTACAGTATTCTTTTAGAATAGTTCTAAAATGAACTCTGTTAATTTTTCCAAAAGAAGAATAGGTGCTCAATGTTTTAATACTTTACTCTGTTCTTTGTTAGGGGTGCTACGTACCACAAAGTCTTCTATTATCTTCTCCCCATTGAAAGCCTATAAATAACACCTTGCCATCATTTTGGTCATTTTGATGATAGGTGATATCAATGTTAAATGTCTTACTTGTATTCTAGGTTCATAAGTGAGGACAGTTTAAAAATCCAAGTTACTGAAATTATATTACACACTCAATGTTATAAGCGCAATAGTTTCTGTGAAGGTGGGAGGGGGAGCAAGGATGAGCGGTGGTGATTATTGTCAATGAATATTAGAGCAGCAGCATATAAGTGATGCATGGTGTGCCTGAAGGGGAGGGGGTGGGGGGGAGGATGATTAGAGGATGATTATAAAATGATGTTTAGATAGTCTACTTAACTTCTCTTGATATGTTTCAGCCTGGGTACAAACACAAATCAAAATCAGCACACATAAAAACAAACAACAAATATCAATGTTGAAATAGCTCTACTGCATGTGCGAACCAACTAGAATACATCTACATGTATAACCACAAGCAAACTGAAAATAAACTTAGCACACATAAAAATAAACATTTCAACTATAATTACTGCTATGATTCTACTGAACATGTGAGAACCAATTATAATTGATCTAAAAACACAAAGAAACAAAAATTCTGACAGCACCTCTGTGTCTCTTGGTGCGACATTCAACAATTCTAAAAAACTAATAAGTGTGATTTTAAAAATAATATTTAGCTACTGAAAATTAGTTTATTGAATGTCATATCAAAAGAATATTATCCATTGCCTTTTTTTTCTATTACTAAACACAAACACAAATCATAGGAATTTCTAATTCTAAAAAAATGCATGTACATGTGAACTTCCTATCTAAATACCTATTTCCCCAAAAGAGTTTATTATGAAATTGTAACTTAAATTGATATTTAGGTATAAACGTCAAGCAGATTTTGGTGTTTCAGAGAATCTTTTGCTCTAGTCCTATAGAAAGGGCTACCGGTATGTGCATGTATTAGAGGATGAATTCTTTATCACAAGGCAATAACTATTAGTTAAAGCTGCAGTACTGTACATGTATATACTGAACTTCCAGGTCAACAATTGGCTTTCTTTAAATTAGTCCGCTGTAGATACGCTAAGTTAAACTCAATACAATTTTGAAATATAACACATAACTATTGTCAGTTTGGAGCAAGAAGGGATTATCTCTGTGTAAAACAGATGCCCTTCTGGCTCCAAACCGATTTATTTTTAGTGACTTACTTGACGTCATTCTTGTAATATTTGATATCATCTCCAACCCTTCTCCATCCAATCCCTTTGGTCTGTGCATTGCATTCGGAGTACATCAACGGTCTCATACCACTGTTATATAAACTACCAGACTGTAATGTGGGAGAAAAAGACAATTGTACATAGGATTACTATATAGTAATTACAGTAAAAATTACATATGAAAAGTTCAGAAGTAATTTGGAAACAGATCTCACTATAATGAACCCAGTGCACCATTCCCACTCCTTCTGTATTCTAATCTGTAAAGCACATAGAGAAATGCAATTATGCCTACGTGTTATGCGCTATACAAAAACAGGTCGTTGTGGCATGCACCCGTTATCCAGCCAGCAATGTAAGTTACAAGCTGATTCAGCCGATGACTCAAGTTCGGAACTGAGTCACGTCTTTCGGATGGTGACGTTAAAGGTCGGTCCCCAGACGTGAATTACATATCTGATTGATACACGTCAGTTAAAACCCAATTACACACAACCACACACACATATCATTATTATTGTATATCATTGTATAAAACAATGTATGTTCGTAAGTACATAAGTTCCTTTTGTTTTGCACATCAATAAAAGTGCACAAATAAATACAGAGCCTATAACATCCTCCTGGCTCTAAACAGGACGCTGCTTCATTAAACTTGATATCAATAACATGTTACAAGCTACTGAAATCATGGCATCTGATTGGCTGAGGACAAATATATCATAGAAATTAAGCATTAGTAATAGATAAAAAGTTTCATGAAACGGGCCCCAGATCTTACCTTCATGAAGTTTGTGATGGTGAATCGATAGCGGACGTTACGTCTTGTGTTATTGAATCTGAAGTAGAACCACTGAGTGTGCTTATGAGTGTAGAGATCATATCTTAACTCCAATTCATACTCTAACTCAGACCTGCAGAAATGAAAAAGGATCATTGATAAATGAGTAATAATAATAATTAGATAGATTTATATAACGCAGCAACTGTACAAATATATTCTACTGTGTTGTGATGTAAAAAACACAAAAACGTCTCTACATTATGTAAATGTAAGGGCTTGGTACTAAAGGTTAAAGTTGGCAGAAACATAAGGTCCTCCCCCTCCCACTCCCCCCTGGAAAATGGCAACATATAAACTGGGCTCTAGAGAACATGAGCATGAACAGCCAAAATTGTGTTTTGAAGTTCAAACACCTGTGAATAAAATAGTTTGTATGGAGCTTAATATTACGGGTCACTTTACGCGGCTGTATACTAGATGGCACTTTCATGATTAAACATTCATAAGCATCTGCTATTTGTTATTGTATCACCTGCTGATTTTGATAGAATAAACCCCCTACAGATGAAAGTTTGAGATGGAGCATGAGAAACATGATACTTACACCTGGATAGCTTTCATGAGGTTCCCACTTTCAAAACGAGATTCAAAGATTAAGGTGGTATCCTCCGAGGACTTCAGCTTAGCGGCTCTTGGTATAGGACCATTCCTGTTACCCCCTACACGGGATCGTAGGAACTGAGAGGGGTAAAGAAAAGTACAGACTCAAATGATTTCGGTGGTTATCTCAGATGAGCTCTTGGTATAGGACCATTCCTACTACCCCCTACACGGGATCGTAGGAACTGAGAGGGGTAAAGAAAAGGTAGAGACTCAAAGATTAAGGTGGTATTTTCAGATGAGCTCTTTGCATAGGACCATTCCTGTTACATACCTGCCAACATTTGAAAATGAGAATTAAGAATTTTTAGCGCGGTATGTCTTCGAAAATAAGAAATCTGTACACTTAACAGGCGTTCGCACATGCAGCGGCAGTTTTTAATCATGCAGCCCTTCAACGCACGCAATACGTGAACTCTAACATCGCGTCAAAGGATAAAACAAGCTTAATTTGGCTTAAGCAACACCAACACAAAAAAAAAAAAAAAAAAAAAAAAATCGAAATTTTGAGAAAAAAAACAGAATATTCCGGATTTTGGGGTCCTAAAAATCCAGAAAATGGAATATTCCGGATTATTCGGAAAGGGTTGGCAGGTACGCTGAATTCAATTTGATGTAGCGATTGTCCAACACAGCTCAGTTACGGCAACATTTGACATGCATCGATCAAACTATACACAGTACATGTACGGTACGCCTCGCCATCGCTGCCCCACTCCACTGGCACCGACTCACCTCCGGTACCGCACTGCAGCGTGCGTTCACTCTGTATACCATAGTCCCGACACACTTCTTCCAAATACTGGATTAGACAATTGAAAAGTTAGTACGGTACGGTAAACTCCATGAATCCATCAAGCAAGCGTATTCCTTGGGATTTGGAAGACATTATAAGTAAAACTGACAAACTTTGTGCAAGTTTAGTAACCATTCACGATCACACGTCGAAGCTAACCCGTTCGCTCAAAATTTATCGCTGGTGAAGTGTGCATGTTCTTGTACATCGCTTGTATTGGTGTGTGTGTGTGTGTGTACGTGTATGGAGAGTACATGCCAGGCCAGACGCTACATACACACACACACACATAATGCTGATCTCTACGCTGTAGATCAGTGGCACAAATACGCTGCAAAATCGTCATTACAAGCCAAATGAGCTTCCGCGGCCATCAACACACACACAGTATACTATACGAGAGCTCTCACACAAATCGCGGCAAATGGTAATACAAGCCCAATTTGGCTTAAATTTCCAAAATGCGGAATCTCCCGCATTTTAAGGTCCTAAAATTCCAGAAATGCGGAATATCCCGGAAAATGCGGGAGGGTTGGCAGGTATGCTGTTACCCCCTACACGGGATCGTAGGAACTGAGAGGGGTAATGAGAGGTACAGACTCAAAGATTAAGGTGGTATTTTCAGATGAGCTCTTGGTATACCGGGATCGTAGGAACTGAGAGGGGTAGAAGAAAGGTACCAGTAGAGACTCGAATATTAAAATGGTATTCTCAGACCAGCTCTTGGTATAGGACCATTCCTATTACCCCCTACACGGGATCGTAGGAACTGAGAAGAGTAAAGAGTAAACCAAAGTTCCATCTCATCATTAAAATCCAAAATGAACAGGATCTTTCTTACAGTGAATAGCAGCAATGCACATAACAGAACAACAACAAATTACATGTATACAAAATAATAATATAGTCTTGTTTACTAGGGGTATCCCTATTATAACTGTTCTTCCTGAGGGCAATGCCATTACTATTACCTCAGTAATGCCATTAAATACACCTAGGTCGAGAGGGACATATGTGGATTAAAGGCATTGTCCAAGCATACAAGCATCGAGTGAGGATCAAACACGCTCTTCTGAGATTTAAGAGCCTTCGTCATAATACCACAATGATATCAATGAATGAATGAAATTCCTTTATAAAGAGTCATCTTTACATAAAAGATCAAATTTATAGGACTTACGTATTCTTCATGAGTAAGAGGATGATTATAGACTACTCTCCCTTCACCTTCCGGCAAGGGCATTGGTGTCTTCTCAAAACCACCTGATAATAAGAGACAAGTCAAGAAAGCAAAGTTTTAGAAGAATGTTGAATCCAATTAACTTAAACTGAAGTAAAAACAAACTGAAGATAACTCAAAAGAATTGAGGCATTGATGTCTTCTCAAAACCACCAGTAGAGTATAACAGATGTAGAGTATAAAAGACACTTTCTTACAATATATTTTATCACCTGACGAAGTGTTGCAGCGGCACACGAAACGTCGTGATCTTCTGATCCCTTGTTGACTATACATTGCGAGACAAACGAATGCTACTAGCGATATTATTTTCGAGATACAGAGGTTTTTTAATCAGACGTCTAGATTTGAACTCCATAAACTGAACTAAAATAAATGACTTGCCTTGATTTGTTTTGATACACGAATATAATTTATGAAATGTTCAACTTGACCATTACCCTGGCCCCTCCCTAAACGGAGGGATACCATGTGTGTTCTCAAACTCTCTAGCTCGATCGTAACAAAAGAAAAAGGTCTACCCGTATTAACTTTACACAACAGACTTTTGCTGAAGGGGGGGGGGGGGGGGGTCGCTGGGAACACGCATATGCGTACCCTAAATAACACTGAGTGGGGGGGGGGGTGGGACAATTACTTACTTGGTTGAAAGAATGGTTCATTCTCTGTAGGGACATCATCAACATGAAGCACAGTATCACGGAGTACCTCTATATCAGCAGGCCTAGCAATGGAGACAATGTTACATCAATTAAGTAGTTTAAATATTTCATTTCATTCATTTTTCTACATTCCAATTAAAAGCATGCAAAACCAAAATAATTTACATTATAATATATACAAAGAAACAAATACATACAAAATAAAAACAAGTGAGTGACAAAAAGGAAATAATGAGGAAAGATGATAAACCAGTTTATCATCTTTTTTTTCCTAAAACACCACCCCTTGAGTAAAAAAAAAAAAAAGGCATCTAACAACATTCCCCCCTTTTGAGTAAGGAAATTGGGGGGGGGGGGGGGAATAGGGAAAATAGGGGTAAAATACATGTATATGATGAAGTTTCTTACGACCCCTGAGCATACTGAGCTCACCAGGCGTTTTCCGGGCTCTTACAGAATGTACAGCATGTTCAGTATGCATTTCCCCTCAAATACATGATATGATATTTTCAGAACTAAGAGAAAAAAAAGAGAGTCATGCCAATTTGAAAAATCAAAGATGATCAATTTATTCTTTGTAAATTAAAAGCTCTCACCATCTTGGTGCTTGCTGTGGTCCAGGCTCTTTGGCCAGAGCATACAGGTTCCGAGGCTCACGCAGCTTTGGCACCTAGCATAGCAAACAAAAGGTATGAACGTCACATACATGTACATGTAGGGATTGGTGTATTCTAAACAGTATTACAATCGCTTCTTAGGGATTCTAGAGATTTGGAATAATGACAGGTCTCTAAAGAAGAAAGATGTGATAAAAACCTTAAGGTGCTTTTTCCCCAGAGGTCCAAGGATTCTTGAAATTATTTGTTCACCAGTACCATAACAAAAAAACAAAAAACAAAAAATACAATAAAACTAGATGGAATTTTGACTGCGCGCAGTCGAAAATGATGCCTCCGCCATAGAGCAATTTAAACAAGTTTGGAGTTTAAATCTCCAGTGGTTCTTGAGATATCATGATAACAATCTCAATGTATGGAATTTCATAAGTTGACCTCTGTGACCCTTGACCTTTGACCTACGTGCTCCAAAATCTAATCAGATTGTCTTCCTATGGTGATACACACTATCATTAAGTTTGAAGTTTAAATCTCCAGTGGTTCTTGAGATATTATGATAACAATCTCAATGTATGGAATTTCATAAGTTGACCTCTGTGACCCTTGACCTTTGACCTACGTGCTCCAAAATCTAATCAGATCGTCTTCCTATAGTGATACACACTATCACTAAGTTTGAAGTTTAAATCTCCAGTGGTTCTTGAGATATCATAACAATCTCAATGTATGGAATTTCATAAGTTGACCTCTGTGACCCTTGACCTTTGACATACGTGCTCCAAAATCTAATCAGATCGTCTTCCTATGGTGATACATACTATCCTTAAGTTTGAAGTTTAAATCTCAAATGGTTCTTGAGATATCGCGCTAACAAACTCAATACAAGGAATTTCATAAGTTGACCTCTGTGACCTGTGACCTTTGACCTACGTACTCCAAAATCTAATCAGATCGTCTTCCTATGGTGATAAATACTATTCCCGAGTCTTAAGTTTAAATCTTCAATGGTTCTTGAGATATTGTGATAACGGTCAAACGGGACGGACGTACGGACGTACGGACGGACGTACGGTACTACTCACGACAGTATGCTTGTGAGATTTTTGTCTTGTGTGTCTGAAAAAAAGGGGTATCTTGTGTGTCTTTTCATTTTTTCCTTCTAAAGACTACTTGTGTGTCTTAATTCCCAACTTCTTGTGTGTTTGTCTAAAATTAAATGAAAATGCATCTTGTGTGTTTTTTAATACAATATGTGTTGAGACTGGTTTTTAAAATTAAAATTAAGGCTTGTATGCCCAAAAGACATTATTGTCTACCTCTATCCAAGTCAGGAAAATTAAGGCTTGTGTCCCGCAAAAAAACACATCATTTACCCGCCTAAGTCGTGAAAATTGAGGCTTGTGTGGCAGAAAAGACGATCAGCTACCCTGTCCAAGACAAGAAAATTAAGGCTTGTGTGCCTAAAAAACTTGATGTCCAAAAAGTATACAACTATTTATTTGTGACTTTTGAATGACCAAAAAATTGATTTATCTTTTTTCCTCATTGAATAGAAACATCACACACATATAATACAGGTAATGCAATAATATTCCAATGCTGTGGAGGAACCAATGAAAAGCCAAGGAGCTTGTCATGGCAGAAAGATTATTTACCCCTGTCCAAGTCAAGAAAATTAAGGCTTGTGTGGCAGAAAGACATTACATGTATTATATACCCCTGTCCAAGTCAAGAAAATTAAGGCTTGTGTGGCAGAAAGAAATTACATGTATTATATACCTCTGTCCAAGTCATGAAAATTAAGGCTTGTGTGGCAGAAAGACATTACATGTATTATATACCCCTGTCCAAGTCAAGAAAATTAAGGCTTGTGTGGCAGTAAGACATTACATGTATTATATACCTCTGTCCAAGTCATGAAAATTAAGGCTTGTGTGGCAGAAAGACATTACATGTATTATATACCTCTGTCCAAGTCATGAAAATTAAGGCTTGTGTGGCATAAAAAACATTACATGTATTATATACCTCTGTCCAAGTCATGAAAATTAAGGCTTGTGTGGCAGAAAGACATTACATGTATTATATACCCCTGTCCAAGTCAAGAAAATTAAGGCTTGTGTGGCAGTAAGACATTATTGTCTACCCCTGTCCAAGTCAAGAAAATTAAGGCTTGTGTGGCAGAAAAACATTACATGTATTATATACCTCTGTCCAAGTCATGAAAATTAAGGCTTGTGTGGCAGTAAGACATTATTGTCTACCCCTGTCCAAGTCAAGAAAAGCAAGGCTTGTGTGACAGAAAAACATTACATGTATTATATACCTCTGTCCAAGTCATGAAAATTAAGACTTGTGTGGCAGTAAGACATTACATGTATTATATACCCCTGTCCAAGTCAAGAAAATTAAGGCTTGTGTGGCAGAAAAACATTACATGTATTATATACCTCTGTCCAAGTCATGAAAATTAAGACTTGTATGGCAGTAAGACATTACATGTATTATATACCCCTGTCCAAGTCAAGAAAATTAAGGCTTGTGTGGCAGAAAGACATTACATGTAATATATACCCGTCCAAGTCATGGATATTAAGGCTTGTGTGGCAGTAAGACATTACATGTATTATATACCCCTGTCCAAGTCAAGAAAATTAAGGCTTGTGTGGCAGAAAAACAGTACATGTATTATATACCTCTGTCCAAGTCATGAAAATTAAGGCTTGTGTGGCAATAAGACATTATTGTCTACCCCTGTCCAAGTCAAGAAAATTAGGGCTTGTCTGGCAGAAAGACATTACATGTATTATATACCTCTGTCCAAGTCATGGATATTAAGGCTTGTGTGGCAGTAAGACATTATTGTCTACCCCTGTCCAAGTCAAGAAAACGAGGGCTTGTATGGCAGAAAGACATTACATGTATTATATACCTCTGTCCAAGTAATGAAAATTAAGGCTTGTGTGGCAGAAAGACATTACATGTATTATATACCTCTGTCCAAGTCAAGAAAATTAAGGCTTGTGTGGCAGAAAGACATTACATGTATTATATACCCGTCCAAGTCATGGATATTAAGGCTTGTGTGGCAGAAAAACATTACATGTATTATATACCTCTGTCCAAGTCATGGATATTAAGGCTTGTGTGGCAGTAAGACATTATTGTCTACCCCTGTCCAAGTCAAGAAAACGAGGGCTTGTATGGCAGAAAGACATTACATGTATTATATACCTCTGTCCAAGTAATGAAAATTAAGACTTGTGTGGCAGTAAGACATTACATGTATTATATACCCCTGTCCAAGTCAAGAAAATTAAGGCTTGTGTGGCAGAAAGACATTACATGTATTATATACCCGTCCAAGTCATGGATATTAAGGCTTGTGTGGCAGTAAGACATTACATGTATTATATACCCCTGTCCAAGTCAAGAAAATTAAGGCTTGTGTGGCAGAAAAACATTACATGTATTATATACCTCTGTCCAAGTCATGAAAATTAAGGCTTGTGTGGCAATAAGACATTATTGTCTACCCCTGTCCAAGTCAAGAAAATTAGGGCTTGTGTGGCAGAAAGACATTACATGTATTATATACCTCTGTCCAAGTCATGGATATTAAGGCTTGTGTGGCAGTAAGACATTATTGTCTACCCCTGTCCAAGTCAAGAAAACGAGGGCTTGTATGGCAGAAAGACATTACATGTATTATATACCTCTGTCCAAGTAATGAAAATTAAGGCTTGTGTGGCAGAAAGACATTACATGTATTATATACCTCTGTCCAAGTCAAGAAAATTAAGGCTTCTGTGGAAAAAAAAAATTACATGTCTGCATTTAAAGTGAATTTTGATGTGGAATTGGGAAATCTTAATGAATTTTGATATTTGGAATCTCAAAGTTTGTGAATTTCAAAGTTTAAATTCATACAATGTACAGAAAGCCAGTACAGAAAGCCAGTTCTGTGGCATAAAAAAAACATTACATGTATTATATACCTCTGTCCAAGTTATGAAAATTAAGGCTTGTGTGGCAGAAAGACATTACATGTATTATATACCCCTGTCCAAGTCAAGAAAATTAAGGCTTGTGTGGCAGTAAGACATTATTGTCTACCCCTGTCCAAGTCAAGAAAATTAAGGCTTGTGTGGCAGAAAAACATTACATGTATTATATACCTCTGTCCAAGTCATGAAAATTAAGGCTTGTGTGGCAGTAAGACATTATTGTCTACCCCTGTCCAAGTCAAGAAAATGAGGGCTTGTGTGGCAGAAAGACATTACATGTATTATATACCTCTGTCCAAGTCATGAAAATTAAGGCTTGTGTGGCAGAAAAACATTACATGTATTATATACCTCTGTCCAAGTCATGAAAATTAAGGCTTGTGTGGCAGTAAGACTTTACAGCACTGGCTTTCTGTACATTGGATGAATTTAAACTTTGAAATTCACAAACTTTGAGATTCCAAATATCAAAATTCATTAAGATTTCCCAATTCCACATCAAAATTCACTTTAAATGCAGATATCCATTAAAATTCTCAAAATCACTTTGCCGATGGATTTTCAAAGAGGAGTATTGACAAAAAGAATATGTCACGTAACTATGAAGAATTTTTATTTCTTCAGAGGCAAAGTTGAGTATTTCATTATTTGCTAATGGAATACGTTTTACACATATCTGGAACTTTAAAGGTACTATGTCCATTTGCAGGCCCCAAAAAATGAAAAGGTTAAATTCCAACAGCATTTGAAAGACAATATTAATTTAGAACTTTCCGAAAAAAAAGGGGGCTTGAAAATGTCTTTAAGTGGGAAAATAACGACTATTAGTAGTTTAATCAACTAAAAGATGAAGTTGAGTTCTGGTTTTGCGATTGCAATGTGAAAGAAACGGTGTGGAATCGACCAGAAAAGGTTGATCATCTAGCATATAAGAATTTGTGTGTATTGCAAGGTTCTGGAATCATCAAAATGATAAGAAATTTGGCCAAGTCTTGGTAAAGTTACAAACACTGTACACAGAAAGATGTATATGGGACTACACAACC